ATGTTGAGATTGGATAATGGAAAAAACTTGAGTATGCGCATATTTTTTTCATGGCATGCACTAATAGATGAAAAATCAAAGATCTTACCTGAGGACAAGGAAGTAGTGAGACAGAACATTCTCAATTTTGTGGAGCAAGTTCCCCCACTTTTGAGGTATTACTGATGTTCCCTTTTGTTATATTCTTATTATCTTTGCATGCTATCTTGTATATGTAACAAAGTGTACTTGAATTACTTGGTTGGAATGTAGCATCTGTAAACTGACTGGCTGCATCATCTCCTCGTTTAAACAGATCACAGCTAGGTGAATGCTTGAAAACGATTATACATGCAGATTACCCAGAGCAGTGGCCAACTCTATTACATTGGGTGAAGCACAATTTGCAGGACCAGAAAGTTTATGGAGCTTTATTTGTCCTCAGGATCCTTTCTAGAAAATACGAGTGGGTTAATTTGAAGTTCCCTCCTTAATTGTTTTGTCCCTGATTTACTTTTTGCGTTCATATTGATGTTGATAGATCTTGTCTTCTTTAAGTGAAGGAAAAGGTTCTGCCAAAGTGTCATCATTACATGTGAACCTTGGCCAGCCTTATATCCATTCTTTTTGGTTTAGCATAATCAATGTTGTTGCCTATACACTTATGCATGTATGAGTGCATTTACGACCCTGATTTTGTGGATAAAGACTGTTATCTTTCATCATCATGGGAAATCTGCAGTTAATATGTACTATCAAGTTCCATGATCATATTGTTATCTTTTATCCTGCCTAACTTGAAATATAAGTTCTGGATGCATTTACCTAGACAGTGGTAAGCTGTAGAGCTGATCTTGTCCATAGTTTAAACATGATTTTGGCCTAAATTTTGACGATCTAATTTTTTTCGGGGAAAAAGTGGAAGTTCCATTTGTCCAGAAAACTATATGTACGTAATTTTCATCTTACAACCATTATATTGTTATCAATGGCTAACGGCGGAAATAGGTGGCAGGCCGAAATCCTGCTGTTGCGGCCTGTGGTGCCACCGTAACCGTCATGATTTGCAAATTTCTCATGGCGGTTGGGCAGATATTTGTCACACTCCATGGCGGCTGTTTGATAACACTGAATAACAATACTTGTATAAAGAGGCAATATATATAATCTCTGGCATTGCTATGAGAGATGTCCCTTACTTTTGCCCTTAAATTAATTGATGCGTATGAGAAAGTCCTGTTATGCTGATTTCTTGATTTTGCAATTGGCAGGTTTAAGTCAGATGACGAAAGAATACCCGTTAATCACATTGTTGCTGAAACATTTCCGCCTCTGCTTAACATTTTTAACCGGCTTGTTCAGATTGCAAATCCTTCAATTGAAATAGCAGATTTGATAAAGCTGATTTGCAAAGTTTTCTGGTCATCTATCTATGTAGGTTGTCATTCTGCAATGTTTCAGCTTGTTTCAATTTACTGGACTAGGTCAATAGTGTTTTTACAATGCATATATCTTTTTTCGGCGCTTTAAATAAGAATATAATTTTGCACATACCAGTGTGATATCTCATGGTCTGATTATACTCATTTTCAAGATTGTTTGTGCTACCTTATGCATTATGACATTGGATTTCATATGGTTATTATGATGCTATATATCTTAGTTTAACTAAACTAGATATTTTCTAACAAAATGTATCAGATTTTACATGTATACCACGAGCATGTAGCTCAAGTTGTACAACTCACCCTCTTAACGAGTGTTGATATAGGGTTTGAAAGTAGTATTTTCCATTTATTTTGTTTTCAAAATCCCCACCCCGCCACTCCAACCGTACTATTAAAAAATAAAAACTATATGTATTGTTCCTGAACTTTAAATTGTATATGACATTGAATTCCTACTAAAAATGCTGTTGTTCTCTCCTCAGCTGGAGATTCCAAAGCAATTGTTTGACCCAAATGTATTCAATGCCTGGATGATTCTTTTCCTGAATATATTGGAGAGGCCTGTCCCTGTAGAAGGACAACCTGATGATCCTGAACTGAGAAATTCATGGGGTTGGTGGAAAGTTAAGAAGTGGACAGCCCACATATTAAACCGCCTTTATACTCGGTATCTTGTTACTTTTCTGCATATGACTGAAATATACAAATATACCATGAGCCTTATTTGATTTATGGATATATAAATGTCAGCATACTCTAATAAAGAATTGTCTACAATCTATAGTGGTGGTTTTCTAATAAAATCAGTTGATTTAATCTAATGTATCAATTACCATGAGCTTGTTCTTCGATATATCCTTAATCAAATTGATACTTTCTGCATTGTCTAAGGTTTGGGGATGTAAAGCTTCAAAACCCGGATAGCAAAGCTTTTGCCCAAATGTTCCAGAAGAATTACGCAGGGAAGATTTTGGAGTGCCATATAAATTTGTTGAATGTGATTCGTGTTGGTGGCTATTTGCCTGACCGAGTAATTAATCTTATTCTGCAGTACCTAAGTAATAGGTAAGTGTAACAATTACTGTTCATTATGGTTGATGGCAGCATGCTCTCAGCTACAGTTACTTTGGACCTCATTCTGCTATGCGGTTGAAAAGGATATATGTCCCGTATTTATAATCTTGCTATATTTTTATTTAGAAAAACTTTTTAATGTATTCCAAATGAAACTTCACATACTATTTGCTCTCTGTTATGTTACCGCATTAGATGGGCTAATTTTAATTAGAATGCATTGAGGCAGTTCTCATGACCTTAGGAAGGTGGATCAACCAAAGAATGCATTGGATTTTATATTTGACAGTCTGGTTTTGTGGTGGAACCCTGGGTACCTTTATTGTCGTTAACTGTTGGTTACTGAACCTGAGAGGCAAGCTGATGCGTGTTGTACAATGTTAAATCCAAAATTTCTCACGCCTCATTCTTAATTGATTTTTTTAAGCTAATATCTGTGATCTCTGGATCTAATTCCCATCAATTCTTGTATTGATTCTGGTTTTGGCCATTGTGCAGTATCTCAAAAAGTAATATGTACAGTCAGCTGCAACCAAGGTTGGATGTTGTTCTTTTTGAGATCATCTTTCCGCTTATGTGCTTCAATGACAATGATCAACGGCTTTGGAACGAAGACCCACATGAATATGTGAGGAAGGGTTATGGTCTGTTGAAAATATCATTTTTCAGTTTCTCCCTTATTTGTTGGAACTCCTAGATTGAGGTTGTACATCTACTTGTCTGTTTGTGGTTTTAGACATAATTGAGGATTTGTATAGCCCAAGAACTGCAGCAATGGATTTTGTGAGTGAGCTTGTCAGGAAACGGAAGGAGAATCTCCAAAAGTTCTTATTGTTTATAGTTGAGGTATTTCAGAGGTATGTATGTATCATTTCATTTTACATAAGATGTTTAATTAAATAATCTGATGATATCTAACAATTTTATTTGTCTACATCACCATATATCAGGTATGACGAAGCAGCAGCCGAATATAAGCCTTATAGACAGAAAGATGGTGCACTTCTTGCCATCGGAACATTGTGTGATAAATTAAAGCAGACTGAACCTTACAAGTCTGAGCTGGAACGCATGCTTGTACAACATGTGTTCCCTGAGTTCCACAGTCCTGTGGGGCATCTTAGAGCTAAGGTAATTTATCTTGGATGATGGAATTGCTGTCACACACACATTAGGTATATGTTTACTATACCAAACAAGTTGTGAAGTATTATGATTTATGGGCGTTGTTTTTCCAAATCCATTTTAAAATGTTATAGGATGAATTTTGAGAATGCATGGTTTCCGTTTTGAAACTGAGATTATGTTCTGATGAGTATCTTTTAAATAATGTCTTGTGTATATAGTAACCAAAAGTGGTTGTTGTGGGGTCCATTTTCATTATTTTAAGTTGTGTCTATCACATAACATTAATAAGATTGTAGGTGGTGGGTCCCGATTCACAAACGTTGTATCATTAAGTTGATAGTGCTGGTTGTGATGCGGCATACATCCTAAAAAATGATGTGATTGATCGATATGGGAAGATTTAACATGACAGATGGACATTGGAAATGAGATTTTGATGAAAATAGTTCAAGACAAACAAGATATCATATTTTTTTACGAACGGTTGGGAAATGGTAGCATGTATTTGAAAAGAAACATAAACATGGGGTTAAGTTCTCAGCATCCCTTTTCCGTGAGTTGGTTCTTGAAACATGGATAACATATGTGTTGCCAAGTTTGTTTATCATTAGGTGATATTACTTTGCCATGATTGCTATAACTTTTTGCGGCAGTGAATAGAGCTCTTAGTATATCAACATCTTTTGTAAGGTTGATTTGTTATTTATGTATGGTAAAATAATTGGACTTAAGTTCATTTTCTGCGTTGTTCAATTCCTTTTCAATTATACTGGTTTGCAGGCAGCTTGGGTTGCAGGGCAATATGCACATATTAATTTCTCTGATCCAAATAACTTCCGAGGAGCATTGCACAGTGTTGTTACTGGGATGCGTGACCTAGAACTTCCTGTTCGTGTTGATTCTGTCTTTGCTTTGCGATCATTTGTGGAAGCCTGCAATGGTGCAGTTTTCCTTGCCCTTTCTTTATGTCTCTATATTGCTGTAGTAATTTAATTGTAGACAAATGCCTCGCTCATTTTTCTGTTGTACAGATTTGGGTGAAATCAGACCAATTCTACCACAACTACTTGATGGTATATCATATGTGAAAGTTCCTTCCACATTGGTCCACTTATAGCAGCAGCATTCACAACTGAATTTTTCTTCTATTCAAAATGATGTTGCAGAGATTTTTAAACTTATGAACGAAGTGGAGAATGAAGATCTTGTGTTTACTCTGGAGACAATAGTGGACAAGTTTGGAGAGGAGATGTCTCCATATGCTCTTGGATTGTGCCAGAATTTGGTAGGAATATTCTATATTAGGACATCTCGAACTGATTGTTTTGTCTTATTGCATCACCAACCTTTGTTTCAGGCTGCAGCATTTTGGAAGTGCATGAATACTGCTGAAGCTGACGAGGAAGGTGATGATCCTGGTGCATTAGCTGCGGTTGGTTGTTTGCGTGCTATAAGCACTATCCTTGAGTCAGTAAACAGACTGCCCCATCTATTTGCACATATTGAGCCAACTTTATTGCCGATAATGTCCAGGATGTTGACTGCAGATGGACAAGGTAGCTGCTCCATCCTTAACTTTATTCACTACCATAGTTTTTCTGCCCCTTATTGTATGTTGTAATTTGTTGATTCCTGTTTCAATGGAAATGTGTAATTAATGTCCCAAAGGCTGTGCGCCTGCCTATAGTGAATGCATATTCAGTCAATTCATTAATTTTAGGAAAAGAACACCCAATTGACATCTCAATGATTCAGCTAAGTTGGTATTTCATAGTGTCTGTATTTTTAGAATAAACTTTGGAGTTTGATATTTGCAGAGGCCTGATTGCTAACCTAAATTGTATCAATCAACTATGTCCAAGCATGAATTTTGCATAATCAGTTTGAGTATATCCGAACAATCAGATGCTTATTTGCCTTCTGATCCTGGAGTTCCATTCATGTATTTATTTGAGAGTGGTAACTTTGATCTTTTAAGCGGGTGCCATGGTTGGGGAAGCGTTTGACTACGGAAGCTCATATTGGATATATGAATTTATTAACGTTGAAAATAGAGCTAAACTTCTCCGTACTTTAGTAAATGTTCTTGTGTGCTTATGACGACTTCATTTTTTTGCAGAGGTTTTTGAGGAAGTTTTGGAGATGGTCTCGTATATGACATTCTTCTCACCTACCATATCACTGGAAATGTGGAGCCTTTGGCCATTAATGATGGAAGCTCTGGCTGATTGGGCAATTGACTTTTTTCCAAGTATGTTCCTATCAATTTACCTCTACTTTACAAAAGAATTTTCTAATGATAACGTTGCTATCAATTTTTGCTTTTAATTTAGCTTGTTTGGTCTGTTTGTTTGACCTTTTTATGTGATAAAATCGATTAAGTGTTAACGGTGAGCTTATTAATAACTATGGTTCATAGTATACCTTACTTCTCATCATGCGTAGCTTTGCATCTTTGATCCTTGTTTTCTGAAGTCCTTTCCTGTCATGTCCTACTCCGAATTGACCAAGTAATATTTATGCTGGTATTCCTTTCTATATGATACATAGAGTTGTTAAACGAAACGAGCCGCTCATGTGCTCAGCTTGGCTCGGCTTGTTTGATAAACGAGCCAAGCTCGAGCTTGTCTAAAGCTCGTTTAGTTAATGAGCCAAGATTGGCTCGGCTCGATAAGGCTCGAAAAGTTGATTTTTATATTATTTTCTATAGCTCGGCTCGTTAAAGCTCGATTTGTCTCGTTAAGGCTCGAGCTTGACTCGTTAATATTGATAAACGAGCCGAGCTTGAGCTCGATTTTTGGCTCGATTTCGAGCTGAGCTCGGCTCGTTTACACCCCTATGCACAATATGCAATCACAGGTTTGATTGACTGGGTATGTGAGGTGTTGTTCACCTTGTACTACCTTTTTTTCTTGTTCATAATTGTTTTTTGACCTTTGCGCTTGTCATTTGCCAATAATTTAGATTATTTTTTTTTTCAATTCTTTTTCCCATCTGTTTTATTCCCTGGTCCTATAGACTATGCATGTGATATACTGGCATAAGTCTTGTTTGAGCAGTAACTGTGTCATTATCTCTACCATGCAGTGCCTAACCAGATTACTCTTACTATAGAACTGATATAAATTAGAAAAAAAGGTGATTCTATTCAATAATCATAGAGAGGAATTTTATTTATTGCAGCTGTATGCTAGCGGTCTTTTCTGTTGATATTGGCTATTGATGCTTTTCAACTTTCAGAGTTCCATTGATTTCTTGTCTTACTTCAGTTTGTTGCAAAATACCTGACTATGCCTGTATTTTAGTTAATATGCCTTATTATCGTCTGCTGTTAAACTAATTCACAGTTTTATATTGTGCCACTAACTTGGATTTGAACATGTTAGAATTTCTTTGTGCATAGAAGTTGCTGCATTAGCTTCTTAAAACTTCTCTCATGCCTGTGGAATTTTCAGATATCTTGGTGCCTTTAGATAACTATATATCCAGAAGCACTGCGCATTTTCTTACTTGCAAGGAGCCAGATTATCAGCAAAGCCTTTGGAACATGATTTCGTCTGTGAGTTTTTTTATTTTTTATTTTATTTCGTCTGTGAGTTAACTTTGTCATATTACGAGTCTAGTTAACCGAGCTTTAGAAACTTTTCTTGCTATTGTTTGTGTTACTTGAAGGTCATGGGTGACAAAAATCTGGAGGATGGTGATATTGAGCCGGCACCTAAGTTAATTCAAGTGGTATTCCAAAACTGTCGTGGACAGGTTGATCACTGGGTTGAGCCGTACTTGAGAATCACTATGGAGCGTTTGCATCACACTGAGAGGCCTTATTTAAAATGCCTCTTGATGGAAGTGGTAAGCAACTAATGTTTCCTTTCATACCCTAGCTAATCTGTATCCTCATGGTAATGTAAAATTGTAACTGTTGTTTGTAATGGAGCTTGTTGCATTCTGCTAAAATTTCTTTCTGCTGAATATAGTACAATCATTGTTTATCTCTTCCGATTACTGTTACATATTTTCACATATATGTTTTTGTGATTTATTTTAGGTTTTCTTGGTGTATTCTTGCAGTTTCCAGTCTCCTCTCCTTTTGTTTGTTTGGTATTCTTTTTTCCAATTTTTGCTAGTAAAAGCTCTTTAGTAGAGTTTAGGATGGTGTTAAGTCTATTTGAAATTAGTAATTATATTTGCTTGCGGATTACAACACTTCTTTGGGATGGATGCTTGATCGCTTGAGTACACAGTCTAGCTGAAGAGCTGTGCAGTTGCTTGGGCACAGTTC